ACAACAGCAGATCCATTACCTATTGTTTAGGTCACCTTTCCTAGTACACAATCCATCTCCCAATCTACTAAGCTTAATGTGCTATACTGAAGGGAAAAATTCTCAGATTTTGTTGTCAGCTACCACAGCTGACTTCCAACTCCACAATAAACACTGTTTAAAATAAAACCATTTATATCTGTAATAATGGCACATACAAATATTCATTCAAAAATGAAACCTATACTAAAGACTACAAAAATCCAGTGAGTATTTCAGTCCTTACCACAAGCTATAAGCAATAATGCTGAATGCACAAAGTCAAGACAACAAAGGTGCTGACGCACAAATACCCTGAGCACAAGAAAAGTTAGTTCCGAAAATCAGAAGTTTTGTTTCCAGAAGTTTCTTACCAGAAGACACAACTGCTGTTTCATCTTGGTCATGGTTTTCATGCCACTGCATCGTCCTGTAGTAACTGAGCATGACTTCCCAGAGGGCTTTGCAGAGATCAGCCAGGCATGGAATGTAGCTGTCAGATGTAATATGCTACAGAAAAACAAAGTAACATTGTGAAACTTCAAAATCGTGTTCATTTTTTGCAGTGGCAACACAAACCATATAAACCCCTCCATATTCACACAGCTGAGGTGCTTGACATACATCAGTTTCATTCTCACATCTATTTGAGAGGTGAGAAATGCCTGATTTTAGTCAACTAATCAAATGCTGTCCAAAAGTGCAAAGTTTATTTGTTAGCTTCTTTTTTTTTCTTTTCTCAATTGGCCCTTGTCTCCCACCTCTTACATTTATGGAACAGTAAGGCAGATACAGAAGTAAAGCCATAAAGTCAGCACGTCTCACTATCAAAGAGGAATGAAGCCCTGGGACAAGCAGACACTGCAGCAGCTCAATGATACAGATTGTCTACTTCAGTAGTACATAGAAGCCATCCTGTCTAGTACCCCGTTGGGTTGAATGGTGTATAAAGAAGCAGCTTAAAAAACAAACAAATTTAGATGGCAGCTGTCCTACCTCCCTGAACCACCCTGCGTCAAAGAGCCAACTGTGATTTAAGATACTCCTTAGGTGAAGACCATCAATTCCATCAGAGAAATAGAGATATACAGTAGAAATATCTAAGATGAGATTGTCAGGAAAAGGAAAGAATTTCAGAAGGGGCTTTTCTGGCTAAAGAAATTAGTGTAAAATATATTGTTTACTTGAGTGGCAATGCTAAGTCACCCTTGTCTCACTTACTGTGAAGCACAGTCTCGCAAGCTTATAAACAAAGGCAAAGTCCAGCTGCACAGATGTGATTTTAATTACAGTTATTTAAAGGTTCTCAGTGAAGTCTGGAAATTAGCAAGTAACAATGCTGTAGAAAACAGTTCATGCTTTCCCATTGCTGCGTCAGTGTCCACAATTGAGGTCCACAAGTATAGTTAGCTTTTACCACCTGGGTATTGTGTGCCTGCTTACCCATAAAGGTGTATCCAGGATGATACAAAAGTTTTGACATTAGTTACAAGAAAGTCTTCAAAAATAGCAGCAGTTCCTGCAACAGTGATGTCAACATAACCACCAAAATAATCAACCATGGCAAACCCTTAATTAAATCAATCAATTCCCTCCAAAATAAATCCACTGCTCTGTCTGAGGCTTTCAGAACACTGAGTGTCCTTCCTGAGCAAAGAATTGCAACAACACTGGGAAGTTTCAATCCTACATTTGATGGAGAATAAATATTACAGTGGACAAATTTCTTCACAAATGCAGTGCATGACTTAGACTCATTTTTCAGCTTTTGAGTAAAAAACCCCTATAAACTGTATATCTTTATTTTCTATTTAATCATGTTCTCATTTCCAAAGCTTAAATAATGTTCCTGGCACTAGGACACACTCCCCAAGCCACATTCTCTGACATTTCACTTTTGATTAAGGACACACAAAAACTGTTCTTCAGCTTTAACAGATGTCACTAGCTAAAGTACCTAGAAGCTTTGTATTAATCATTCCATCCTTTCAGTGTGCTTGTTTGGGTTTTTTTAAACTGATGTACTATTCTGGTTCTGTTCCCTATCAAACCAGAGGTGTCCCAAGGATACAAATTAGGCATCCTGGACATACCAACTGAAAAAGAAAAAGTCATATTCTTAGTACATAAAAAATTTCTACAATTGAGAAAACTACTTTTTTTCTAAAACACCCTTTAATTGAAGAGTTGATATACATTAGTGACTGCATTATCGAGACATTGTAATCTCAGACACTATAGATCTTTGCTAATCATGGAACAAAATAGGGTAATAAGTTTATCATTTAAACAATAAGTTGTCCTGTCATTTCAGGATTCAGCAACTTTCTCTGCCAACTCACCAGGAAATGTTACTCTTACTGTATTTCAGGGCTTTCCGTAACAATAAAATATAAATTTTGCTTGTGCAGATCACTGTACTTAAAGACACACTGGCTTTCAGGTGACCAGAAAAAAAGGATCACTTACTAAACAACAGGATAATTCCATATAGACTGAGGAAATGAACAACTGAATTTCTTTGCACTTACACTAGAATAAAGAAAATCAAAACTTGAAGAAGAAGCAGCTGCAGTACTATGCCAAAAGAGAAAGGATTTAAAAGCTAGAGCGTGGCATACTGCTAAGACAAGAACAGCTCAACAAGGAAAAAGTGACTCTGAGTGCACAGGCACATAACTTACAAAAATGCCTGAGAATTTCTGAAAACATTATTCTTTTAAAAAAACTCACATTATTATAAAATCCAGTATCTGATTTCAGTATAGTCTCCCATTACCCACATAAAATGGAAAGGAGCTAAATGACTGAATTTGGACAGAAACCAACAATGGGAGATCTGCCCAAAAAGGAATACTTCAATTTTATATTACTTCTATTGTTGAATTAGGGTAAGTACTCCATAAACACTTATATGTTAAGAGCATCCTGACTTAACAGCATAGCCAGCCTGAAGAGAGTTCTCATTAGAACTGAACAAAGAGAAAGAAAGCTCATATTTCAGTCTTTAACAATTTATTCCCCAACAACTGAATGCAAGAGATAAACATCCGATGGTATTTTTTGTACAGGAAGTTAGAAATTGAATTGCTCTTATAGCCCAGCTTATTCAGCACTCTGATTTCACAAAAGCATTGCAACAGCTAACAACCAACACTGAACAGCATGGTTCAGTGGCAAGAGACCACAATTTCTCATCTGCACCCTGTTCTGAAGTACCTAATTGTTACCAATAGAGCAATGAAAAATTTAAAAATTGCTCTATTTCCAGGAAATTACAGCAGTATTCATACTACACTACAGTTTCAAAGTCTGAGTATCTTCCCTTATGCAGACTGCCAGATTGCAGCAATTGCAGGCTCATAAAACAAAAGCATCATCTCATGAAGTTTTTGCAGAAGTAAAACCAAAAAGAAATGATGAGATAATAATTTTTTAACCATGCAGTTAAAGCCACTTTCTTTCTGGGTATTACAAAATGCAGTATTTCCAAGTATCTGAAAGATTCCTCTGCACTGCAAAGGGATCAACAGCAGCTCACAATCTGTATTTTAGAAGCTGTAAGAAGCAGCACAGTAGTACTGTTTGCAAGGGTAAATGAATGGGCTTATTATCATTAGCAAAGAATAAGAAATAAACTGATGGGCATACAGAAGTATAAAGAAAAAAAACTTCGAAGAAAAATGCATTAGAAACTAAGAAATGAAAATAAAACCACACTGATGACTAACAGAAGAAAGATGAAAGGCCTGCAGTGCAGAGAACAGAGATCAGGGTTTGCTGTCTTACTTGAGCTAGAATTCATCTCAGTGAAGTGCAAATACCACCCATCCAGAACCTTACTGATTCTGTTCATTAATATTTATGTCAATTATTCCAAATAAATTAATTTTTCATATCACACTTTGACTTATATGAAGGTCCTTAGATTATGCAAGCTTTTTTAATCAAAGGGACACTTTTTAAAAATTAAATGGTTTTCTATACACGTGTTGTTTGCTAGTTGAAGCTACATGATCCCGGAAGATACGAGAAGTGAAAGGTGGAAAATAGATCAGAATATGAACTTTAATCTCCTTGTGACCATACTTTAATTTAATAAATTGCAACTGATGGGGTGGGTCCTTGAGTTGATGAAGTATGATGAGGGCTTAGCCTGTGACTGAAATACACATCCTAAGATGTTTCAAGATAGAAATATAATTTCAAATTTTAAATCAATGTTAGAACAACCTAAATATGTCACATTCTTCCTGACCAGCACTGAAGTTACTGTTACACAGCACTGTTACACAGGGTGTAACAGTAAAATAACAAGTGAAAAAATTAGAGAGTGAACTAAAAATGCTACTCAAAATACAGTAATTCATTCTAACAACATTTAAAAAAATAAACAAAAAGCAGATAAGCAGGAAACTGCACCTAAAATTTATACTAGAGGAAAATGCATGGTTATTGCCAGTCCATGATCTGTCTGTCATCAGACTTTTGCATCTCAGTATTACAGCTGGCCTTACCTTGATATCAAAAATGCAATGAAACTGATACGAAGTCAGGAGTAATGGGAAGACTCCAATTAAGGTAGCATTTTTACAAGAATCCTTACTGAAATGCAGTATTATAGAAATTGTGAATACTACCTAAATGTGCTGGAATAAAGTTCACAGTTAATAGGTATTCCAATAACGAGCATATTATACTGAAGGCATGGGAGTTTTGCCATGTTATCTTCCTGTCTCTACCCTATGATTTACTTTACGTTTATTTAGATGGAGTGCACAATAACTCCAAAGTGCTAAGATTTAGTGCAATCAAATCAGCATTAAGTTGGGAATACCAAATCTCTCAATTAGCCTACAAGTTGTATTAAGAAACTATAGAAGCCGCAAGGTTATTTCAACAACTGAGTCTCTACTGACATAAGGTACACTTAGAATGGTGGAAAAATTCAGATTAAAAAATATACATTATGCAAGAATTACATACTGTGCAGAGATCTTTGTACTGTAACTTCTGAAACTTGGTGTCTGTGTTTCCTGCACATAGCTCCACATATCCAAGGACTACTTGAAACACGGTGTTGTGAATGGCTTGAGTGAAGTGCATATGTAGCTGGTCCATTGCTGTCTGAAAGAAATGGATTAACATAGAATCAAAGACTGGAATTCAATTTGTCATATGTCATCATCTTTTAGCCATCACCTTTTAACATCAAGTCTTTTTCAGCACTAAAGAGAAGAGACTGTAAGCATGGCCTCCAATCTTTGTCTAAAAAATATCTAGCATAGGTCTTAGCAATATGGTAAAGGAAAAGAGTTCAGATATTACAAGTTTCTTCTGTCATCCTCCCTCTAAAATTCACCTCTTCCTTTTTTTACATTATGACTAGCAGATATTAATTTTACACCTATATAATATAGCTAATTATAGAATTTACTTATTTATTCATTTACCCTCCCAGTCACTGATAATATGTCAAAAAGAAAGTTGAGATCCATGCTCTTTCTCCCACTGGAAACTCTTCCAACTAAAATAAAAGTATTTCCTTTGCAATTATTAAAACTAAAACAACAATTTCAAAGTCTTCAATCCATGCACTTGACAAACTGAAGAGGATAAAGTAGAATTAAGTGTTAGAGAAAGGAATGCAGATCACATCAATAAATAAAAATAAATATAAAACCCCTCATTGCAATAGAAAAAAGTTACATTTTTTTTAAAAAACCCTCACTTTTTCCAGAAAAACAAATAACATGTACTAAACACTAACAACTATGTAACATCAGCTTTGCCATAATCATGCCTGAGTTTCAGGTCAGGCTGCTTGCTGAGTTCTCCTGTTGTTAATAAACTGTACACAACATTAGTCCATTTCCAAAACTGAATTTTCTCACTGTTTCAGGATATGCAAATAATCACTATAGAGTATATAGGAACTGACTGAAAAAAATCTTTTATATGTAAGAATGGAGTTACCAGATCCTGCAGATTTGAAAATGTTTGGTTTTACTACTTCCTACTTGACATTTTTAGCTACTGACAAGAGCTGAGAAGTCAGTCACCCCATAACAAATGAAGAAGCAATTCTGCTTAAATCCCATTGCAAACAACCAATCTTCTACAGCTAGTCCTAAATCGAATTAGTCAGAGAGAAGAGAATGACAAATGAAATAGTGAAAAGTACGGAGCATAGTGGAAGTTCTTGCCATTTTGTTTACTGAGAAGGGGTTAAACTGGGAGATATTTCAATAACAATGCAACTAAATTATTTTCAGGATAAATTCAAAACACGTACTTCAATAGTAATAAAAAGATCATCAAAATCAAGTCACTCTATCATGAGTGCAAAGCAGGCAAACCCATGCAGTAACAAATAACCCTTCCATTTTGTTCAAAAACTTCTGCCTCTCCAACAAAAAAAATCTGCCTTTCTCAACATATCATGCACTTGAATCCAGAGCAGTGAATACATTGTATCTACTTTTGTTCAGTAAATAAAGAAATTATATACAATGCACTAACAAACAGAAAGTCTAGAGCTGAAATACGGAACTGTTACAGCTATATCGTGTCCAAAAAGCTACATGTGGTAATACAGTTTACCTTTAGCAAGTCCTGTTAAACTATCTGAGCATTATAAAAGCCCTTCTATACTCAGCAAGATTCACCAGCATTAATGTGATGATTTTGGCTGGGATAGAGGACATTTTCTCCACAGTAGGTAGTATGGGGCTATGTTTTTGGATTTGTGCTGGAAACAGTGTTGATAATTCAGGGATGTTTTAGCGATTGCTGAGCAGTGTTTACATTGAGTCAAGGCCTTTCCAGCTCCTCACCCTACCCCACCAAGGAGTGGGCTGCAGGTGCACAAGGAGTTGGAAGGGGACATGGCCAGGACAGCTGACCTCAACTGACCAAAAGGGATATTTCATAACACATGGCATCATGCTCAGTAATAAAAGCTGGGGGAAGAAGAAGATGGAGTTCTGCTCACCCAGAGACAGTTGAACACCTGCCTGCCAATGGGAAGTGAGTTAAGTCCGTGTTTGGCTTCGCTTGCATGTGCAGCTTTTGCTTTCCCTATTACATTGTCTTTATCCCAACCCACAAGTTGTCTCACTTTTATCCTTTTGATTCTGTCCCCTAGCATGGCAAGTAAGAGAGAACAAGTGGCTCTGTTGGGCTTAGTTGCCAGGTGGAGTTAACCCACAACAATTAGGAAAATAAACTTCCACCACAGTGCCCAAAGCTTCATGCTGTTACACGACTGTTCTTTGTGACTTACTTGCAAGATAAGTACTAACCTGTGTTTTTCCAAGCAGCCTGTAAGCCTGCTGACCCTTTGTATAATGATTGATATCAAAGTTCTTGCATATTTTGGAAAGTGCTACATCCAATTGTTCCTAGATAAATGAAAGAAAATAATGTGTTAAACACTAAATAAAAACAGGCCAAGTAATACATTACCAAACAATAGCAAGCAAAGAAGATGTTTATTTAAACAGTCTGATAATTATGCTTGTAAACTAGCCATGATTGTATATGATGAGACTATTCCCTTTTTTTTACTTCTTGCAGCGTAAGTACTTCTGTCTGAAATTTCTGAGTCAAACAGCTCCACCATTTCAAAGGACAAGCACAGTAAAAAGTACATTATTTTGCAGAACTCAAATTCAAAGAGATGTCTACTTAGAGAAGGCCTAGCACCCCAATAAAGGACAGCTGGTATTTGTAACTTGGTCTACTTCCACTACTTAGAAAAATCCAGATCTGGGGGGTCTCAGCTCAAGCAATTCATTTATAGACTTCTAAACTCTCTGACTGCCATCTGTTAAATGGAACTATCTGAATTAAAAGGTCATTTATAGAACATTACACCAGCACAATGATCACTACCATAGGAGAAAAAAAAAAAGAGCTGACACACAAATACTAGTTCTGCCATCAGAGCTGTGTCTGAGCATACTGAACAGCTTTGCAACAAATGAAGTCCACCTGTTATGTGAACAAAATGAAAAAAAATTCCTTAAATAGGATAATATACTTAATGACTAATAAAGCTTACAAGAATTTGATTATGTAGCTTAATAAGATAATTCACCTAACTCTAGTTATTTTCAATCAACAATGCACAAAAGAAAAAACAGAGCAACTCAATCACATGCTAGCATACACAATGGCAGACATTTTCTCTCCTTTCTAGACAATAAAGCAATATCAATTCTTATTATTTAAGGATCTTGCAATGCAGTCTTGCTCTTACAAATAGAAACCACAGGAGATGGGTGTTTAGTCCCCAGCTACTCCTACTTACTCCATTGGAAAATTTTCATTAATTACATCATTAGCCACAAAATATTAATGGTTTTAACCCTAGAGATCTGTTGGGGGGTGGTTTGTTGCACTTTTTTCCTAAACCAAATGGTAAAAGGACAAGTAATCTAAAGATTCAGAAGTTTTCTTAAAGGTTACTCAGCAATTTGAATTTCAGCCATATACTGATTTCCCAAAAAAATAAAAAAATCCTTATTTCTTGCAGAACAGCCCTATGAAAGAAGAAACAGGGATCTCAAACAGACCATGAACAGAGCTCTTAAACACAGAGCACATTAATCTTTTCAGCTACATTTTTCAACAGTTCCTTGCACTGTAGCTATCTTGCATTTTATTTTTAACATGGTATAGAAGTAAGATCAAGGATAAAACTTAAACTACAAGAAGGGAACAAAAATGAAAAAGGAATGGACATAAGTAGAGGCACTCAACTATTGAAAAGACTCATTACTGAATCTGAAACTAGCAGAATATTATCACTTAGACCATGTATTTCACAGGAATACTCCATTAACCCCAAGACAACTGACATTTCTTCCATATGCAAAGATATAATTCCAGTAGGAAATAAGATACTTTCACAGGAAGAAAACGAGACATTTTTATAAATTCACAAGTAATAAATAAAATAAATCTTGAGTATGATCATTAAGCTAGCTGTGAATTGCCTTTACCAACCAACATCGCACATTTTACCACACTTCAGTACGAGCAGAATGTGCTGTGCAAAGCTGCTGCTGGAAGGAAGTAAAGACGTATGTTTCCCTTTAAGCAACATCAGTATCTGCTTACAAGGGAAAAATGTGTGCGCTCAACTCTCACAAGGCCTGTGTGAGAGTGAGAAGAAAACAGCCATTTCATCAGCTCTTTTGAACCAGCCTTGCTCTGAATAAAGCATATATCAGTGAAAGACTAAAGGAACACACATACACACAAAAAAAAGCTTTGCAAAAAAGCTGAAGTACAAAGGCATAACTGAAGGAAATTTAACGAAGTTCTAAATGTACAGGGAATTAAATAACAGGGTAGGATAATGCATGCACCAATCTAACTTTGTAAAGAGCACATGACCACGGGTGTAGAGAGTTGCTGGAATAGTTAATGCACATTCCTGCCGAGCATTATATATGTATGCATTACATGCACTACATATACATTATACATATCTACATTACTAGACATCTCACAAAAAGCTTGCCAAGCTCCAGCTCAAAATTACCTAGCAAAGGTAAGAGAATTCCTTTTCTTTCCCACCAATTTCCAGCAAGACACTTACCATTTTGTATTCATTTGCTTTTGTGATACTACCTACCAACTTAAATTGACCTTAGTTGCAGCTTTCACAGCTACTCAAGTCTTACTTCTTATAGCTCAGCACTGGCCCTATCCAGCAGTTTTCAGTTCGCTAACCTTTGAATTTTCCAGTGAAACTGTGATGACTTTTGTAGCTCATCCAAACCTATTGGATTGCTGGTAATTTACTTTTCACAACTATTTAGAAGGAGTCCAAAAAATTCACAGAAGTTCAGTACTTCACATGTTATGTGCCTTTTTTAATTTGACTGCTCTACCACTTACAGTGGGAACAACTAGTGAATTGGGCTCATAAATATGATAAATATTACAGAGTATTTAGGTTGACTGCAGCACAAAAGTCTACATGAACAGCAGTGACTATAGCATACCAAAGAGACTATTTGAAAGAAATGTGCACATTCTGTAATTGCTAGCAACATTGTATTAGAAACCTCTAGTACTTTGAGGTTAAATATTAACACATACTAAACATCAATATATTCTTACCTCGATTTGTTCCAAGGTGTCTTGCAGTTTTGAATTTAATTCACTATTAATGAGAGAAAAAAAATGTTCAAAATAAAATTACTGATTATATTAACATTACAGACCAAGTTTCTCATTTCCAAAAGCACATGTGCTTGCTACTGAGATGCAATATAGGAATTTATCATAAATTGTTAACTTGCTGTTACTGTGTCAGACTTGTAGCTCTATACTAGTGTTATTACTGAAAGGCAGCTACTGCAGGCATATGCAGCATTCCTAAGCCTTTTAAATCAAAGTATTTGCCACAACAGCACATTATCCTAGGTTTACAATACAACAGTGTTAAGAGGGCCCAGACAAGGCCCCATCCTGCTAGGATTTAATCAAGTACTCAAAGAGATTCTCAATCCCCCAAAGAAACTCATGCTTTAAATATTTTGGTTTGGTACTGTGGTCTACAGCAGAACATACCCAGGAAGGTCAGGTCTGTCAAGTCTTTGCAAACTACAGTAACTTTTCTTTGTTGATCAGGAACCCCTTACAGAAATGCTATAGGAAAAAACACCTTAAACTTACACAACTCTCAGAAAAATTTTTGAAGGCCATTATTTCACTTCTCTAAGTTATACTTGGTATAAAAAGATGGACAAAAATAGCTACCATAAGATAAACTATGTAGGACAAAGAAAGGCACCACTGTGCCTTTGCAACAATCAGCTTTAAAAATTTCAGAACACCAGCAAGAAAAATAAGACACAAATTTGTAAAGGACAAAGCAACAGGCAGGATATTCCCTTCAAGCACAGAAAACACAGTTTTCATTAAATAATCACTGTGCCTGGTTTTAGACAACTACTGTGCTCTCAATCTTCTCCTAAGGGGCCTACATTAATTATCAAAAGACAGATTCTAGTTTCCCTCCTTAGTTCTCTGTGCTTAAAGGATTATGCCCATCACCCTCCTTATTTTGGTTCCATTAGGAATGGATACAACACCCTCCAAAGAAAGGTTTAAATAGAAAAAAACTGCATCAAAAAGAGCTGGCATTAAACACTGCAGTAGCCAATATTTCCTTACTGCTTCTCCACATGCAAGAAGCCTTCAAACATAAATGCCTTCATAATAATTTGATGATACTACATCTCCTGCTGGAGTTTATGAGCATTTCCTGCTACTTTTGGGTTGGTTTTTTTCAGAGCAATGGAAATATCAAGTCTAAGTTAGGAATTGCAGATATTTGAATTAGTTCCAGTTCTGAAAGCAATTTCTTCATGCCAGCATGAAACACTGTGCTTGCTAATTTCATTGCCAATAATCAGCATAAGTTATCCTCCAGAACCATCTTGCTGTAGGTATATTAATTGCAGAATATAAACTTGCTTATTAAAAAGTCAGCTCAGGTATCTCTAGGCTGCAGGTTGTAGCAGAGTTATAATTCAGTCTTAGTTGAGACTTCACCTGCCAACATATTACAACAGTTACAAATAAATACATAGTCCAAACATTGATTGCATACTGTTATGATTGTGAAGACCTGTTAGTACTGGTACAGGGAGGGGACAAACTACAGAGGATGCTTATGCCTTTATAACTGCCTCTATTTTACTTTTCTAGGCAGAAAATCACATTTCAATCTAACCTTCTTTAGAGAAAGAGAATTAATGATCACTGGTTTATACCATTTTCAAATAAAATCATACAGAAACTGAAATTTTGAACAAATGTCACCTCACCTTATACAACTGTAGTGTTTGAAGGTGCTGGCAGCATTCTGGCATTCCAAGCACAGCTGAATAGCTCCTGGATAATCCTCTTCCTTAGGATAAAATACAATGGAAAGCTCATTTGAAGCACAGTGTAACACCCATTTTTGCTTGCATGCTTATGTATAAATATTAAGAATAAAATATTTTGCCTTTTATGTTTATACATTAAATTTCAAGGAAAAGAGTGAGGGTCTACTGCAGCACTTCATGTGCAAGTAGTTCAGAATTAGAAACAGAAAATGTTAGCAACATCTGAAAATTCTACGTACTACATTACCTTATGCAAACAATTTGCTGTATTGTTTCCTTATGAATTCATAAAACATATATCAGAAAGTTTTTATTGCAAAACAATTAACATCTTCCCAGTTCACTTTCAAACCTTTGTTAATACAAAATTATCTATTTGTGACATGGAAAGCGAAGTTCAGGCACTAGCAGGCTGTTGCCATAGTTTACAAAAGCTAAGAGGAGACAAGGAAGACACTCCCAACATTATACCTGATTAAACACTATGTAAAGTGACATATTCTATAGCTTATTAGAAATTAATTTAAATACAACTGGCTCACACAAGGACTCAGGATAAAAAGAACATACTTTGGAATAAAAACATGGAAACATTGTCCTAATTTATACAACAAATATCCAATAGGAAGACAGATCAATCAGGAAGTGTATGAAGATGCTAGGACAAAACAAAAACAAGAACATACACACAGAAATGTAAAACCCCAGGATCTTGCAAACAGAACATGGGCAGTGCCTTGGGTATACCTCCTATTTTTGCATTCTATTAGACATGAGACCAGAAAGAGTCTTGGAGGAAGGAAAACCTTCTTTAATAGCTAAGAGCTTCCCTTCTTTGTCATAATTACATCTGTTACATCAGGTGCTTTAGAGAGCTCAAATGCAAAGCTGTTACTGGAATTTCAGTCATTGACTGAAGGGCAAAAGCACAAGGGCAATTTATATTTAGCTATTATCATAAAGGAGTTTCTGAAATGGAATAGGTTTTAACAGCAGTGTTCTAATGCAGATCAAGTTTAGCAAAAAAAATACAAAAACCCAAAACCCAAATACATTATCCATTAGATGAAAACAGAACAGTACATTGGTCTAAAACGATTACTGCATTTCCAGTTCTTTGCATCTTTCTGGATACCACTGGAAACCTGGTACTTTTTTCATTAAGTCTAACAGAGCTCAAATCAGAAAGTCTGTTTGCATAGCATATATGTCTAACATATCCCAGATGCAGCTCAGCCCTGTAAGCTATCGAAGCTTCATTTGTAGTCTTTTTTCAATTGGAACTGTTTGGGAATTCTCATTTGTGAATGGCTGCTAATAGCTCGCTTGCATATTCCAAACTACTAACTTCTTGGAGTAAATACAATAAATCGGCTGATATCTGGGATAGTTTATTGGAAGCAGATACTGAGCACACCTCAAAAACTGCATTTAGCCCGAAACAGTGGTTCCAGCCCTTAAAAATCACTGACAAATTACGATAATCAGACATTCGGGTCTGTGTGTGAATGCAACACCCACATCTCTGTCTCAAGACAACTCCTTCCATTACACACTGAAGAGTTAATTTTCTGTGTGCCAAAATACAGCAGAGATATTAAAAGCTAAACATTGTACAGGGCTTACTGAGCAGAAGGCAACATTTATGCCGCCTGAAAATGAGTACATTCTTGCTTGGTAAAGAAAAAAAAGGTTTGCTGAGACAAGGTGATTTACTCAAGATGGAATTAAGCTCAAAGAATCTTAAAAGTTACAACCATTAAGATTCAGTTTCCAAATTTAGTAACTAGGGATTATCATCATGATGTTCCATCTAGTATTAGTTGTATATATTTGGCACACTAGCATGTCAAAATTGTTATGCTACATGTACTATGATTAAAATACAGTTTTCAATAAAATTGTAAAGCTGTCTTTCATGCAATTAGTCACCTTAAGATAAAATCTTTTTTTGCTCTGTACAATATCTACTGCATTTTCAGCCAGTATATGTAACAGTATCTAAATTTTCAGAGACATGGCCTGCATGCTGCAATGTTTTCTACAACTGACTATTAAAAAGCCAACCCAATAAATAAGGAGAGAAGCTGCTACACTTACAAATAAAATACCAAGTAGAGATCCCACCTATAAATTAGTTCAACAATATATCAGTAGAAGTTCTTTATCCATAGCCAGCACATCAACAATCAGCTAAATCTCACTTTCTTTTTTTTCTCAAATATCAAGCTAAGGCCAGAAAACAAGTATAAGGTGAGGACAGGGGAAGAGTGAAGCATTTTTACCAAACTAACTCAAGCCTCAGTGCCCAGATCTAAAAACAGGATTGAGGTTTTGACAGAACACACTCCCCCCCGGCAGAGAGGCTATCTAATTTGATAACAAGTTTTACTCTGTGAGAAAAACCAAAGAAAAAGAATAAAAGCAAAATTTCGTCCCATGCTCACACACCCATAGCCTGTTTGCAAGAGAAAAGGAAGGGATAAAATTAAGACGACTGACAAAAGCAGACTTAGAATAGCTTCAAACTGTAACAGTCTGGGCAGGGACTTACCTCTAACATCTCACTCAAACGCACATCAGTTCTTTGCTAAAGAAAAAAAAACAAAAACAAACAGCAATAACTAGTGTGCTGGTTTGAGCTGAAGTAGAGTTAACTTTCTTCACAGTGGCTAGTATGGGGCTATGTTCAGGATTTGTGCAGAACACAGGGTTGATAATGCAAAGATGTTTTTGTTATTGCTGAGAAGTGCTTACAGCCAAAGTGTTTACTGCTTTCCATACTGCCACACTGGTGAGGAGACTGGGGGTGTGTGGGAGGTTGGAGGCAACACAGCTGGGACAGGTAACCCAAACTGACCAAAGGGATATTCCATACCATATGACATCAGGCTCAGTATATAAAGTGGGAGGAAGCAGGAGGAAGGGGGGAACATTTGGAGTGATGGTATTTGTCTTCCCAAGGAACCATTACATGTGATGGGCCCTGCTCTCCTGGAGATGGCTAAACACCTCCTGCCTGTGGGAAGCAGTGAATTAATTCCTTGCTTTGCTTTGCTTGTGTGTGCAGCTTTTGCTTTCTCTATTAAACTGTCTTTATCTCAACCCATGAGTTTTTGTAGCTTTTACCCTTCTGATTCTCTCCCCCATCCTGCTGTTGTGGGAGGGAGCAAGGGGCTGCATGGTGTTCCTTAAACCACAACAACTACACAGAAATGAAGAAAAATATTTTACCACTGTACAAACCCAACTGTACATACCAGTGTTTTTATTGTTCTCAGAGATTTTAGTAGTCCAATAAGCAACTGTCGTTTCCTCTGATTTGCAAGAAGACCCAAACTAGTCTGTGTGAAGCCTTCCTTTGCTATATTCAGGTGTCTGCAAAAATGAAAAATTAACATCATCTTCAACAATTCACAGAATAAAACTTCTAATCAATTCTAACATGTCCATCAGAATACATGCCAGAAAACAAGACTGTCAGCATTGTTAGGGAAACTCAGAAATAAAGGTGAAACCAACAGGCTACTAAGAAATTCCATCTTCCCTTCTGCACTTGTGGATCAGTGGTGTATCTCAAAAGATCCCTCTTTTAAAGAGAACTCCCAATTGCAAAAGTGAGAGCTGCAAGAGCTGGTAAAGTGCTTCAGTATCTTTAACTACTATTGCCAATAGTATTCAGCACACAAACAGGAAATATCATCAGCAAGCAAACATCCTGGGTTTATAGATTTCTTCTTAAATACTGTCCCCCTTTCAATCTCTGCAGTTACTTAAGCAGGATACCTTCTTCCATTTGTGCAAATAACAGCTGCTAGCTGAAGGCCACTCTGCAACGATGTAACACGTTCAAGTTCCTACAGAGAGAAAACAGGCTAAATTAACATACAAGTTAAAGCCACGCTACACACCAGTGAAGACCTGTGATTAGCAGTTTTCTCTTGAGAAGCTATAATGACTTTGTAGAAATACTTTATATATTATTTGTTTCATCATTTTATATATGCTAAGCACTGCAATGTATTGTTAATATAAACTATCTTTTAAAATACATTTCTCTTTTGAAGAGAGATACTCAAAATTCATATTCTTTGCAGTCTACATTTATATATTGTACATTTAGCCTAAGAATCTCTATATCATTAAGGTCCTACAACAGAATGATGAAAGCTTCAGGGACAGAAGCAGAGGGTTTAATTTGTATTAATATGCCAGAGAGCAGCAAAACAAAACAAAAAACATCCTGCTTCATACAGCATTTTCTTGTCTTGAAGCACTTGTGTTCTACCAATTTAACAGATGTCACTTCATAATGAATGTTAATTGTATCCTGTTGAATTTCAGCTGAAAACTCTTCAGCAGAGGTGAGCTGAATTTAGCTTGGTTTTGACTTTGTGAAGTGCCTAGCATAATCTCAACATCTTGAAAAAAATGTATGTTTTAGTATGCCCTTTAGGATTTCTTTTGTTAGGAACAGCAATGCAGAAAAGTGAACACTCTCCCCATGCCAAAGAAAAAAAGAATTGTTTTTTTTAAATACAGGTCATTATTTCAAAACATATAAAGTGCTTTTCATGGGGAGAAGGGACACTTTCACCTTGAAAACCAACTAATTCTAAAGATATCGCAAGCAAAAACAAGTTCAAAGTTTAGGTCAGTTTCAGACCAGCTCCTGCTCAGTCTCCAAAGATATAAGTAATGCTGACAAATCAATAAACTGCATCTTTCACCAATTACTAATGTTACTAATGTTGCCTTTGTAAAAATGACATGCTTTGTTGCTGATATGCATAATATATTAAAAAAAGAAATTCAAAGATTATTTTCCTTCTGACTAAAAGCACACTGACATGCAAATGTCAGAGCTATTACAAGAGCCATTGTTCCCTTTTTCATGAGGAAACACATACAATAAGGAACAACTCCACTCCAGTCTTGCCTCTTACAAAGATTCTGTAAAGCCTCCCCTTTGAAAATGACTGGATGGAGAGCCACAGGGAGAGAGTGCAGCCAAATGGTCCCAAGAAAAGGAATATTTTGCCCAGCATTTAGGGCTGAATACATTTTTCCTCTTCTCAGTCTTCCAGCCAGTAGCTGTTCCTAAAGCAGCATGCCTTTCCTTTCAAGGGAAAGGGAAAACTGTAAATCACTTGCCCTGTGTCTGTGCCATGCCTCTCTTAGCCCACAGCAGTACCTGTTAGACCAGCACTTCATACTAGGAATGGGGTGCAAACCATGACATCCCCAAACTTTAATTTGCGCAGTGAAAATGTGTAAAGAGCCAACTGTATTTTTGATTCTTCTAATGACCTGCTACTGTAATTGGACACTGAACTGGAGTGGCCATTACAAAGTACCCACAGCACATCAGGAGGTTCATGAGTCAGTGGGAAAGTGAGCGCTATGATGCCCACCAGAAACCTCCAGTAAGCAGACAGACAAGAATTACTCAGTGCAAGCCTGTGCCCATCAGTAACACTGGAGAATTACTGACTGAATCAGGCAAATATGCATTTCAGGAATGTTTTTAAAAGATTCTTACTGGCACAATAGATTCTTAACCGTCCCTTTGGAATAGCTGAAAGCACTTCTTGGTATAAAACATGCAGCTAAGATGTTGCTGTGCTAAGAATATAAACATTACACTGCAAGAAGCACATTTGCTGCAGCACTATCATGCATCGAGAGCAGTTTTACAAAGTGAACTGCTGGATTCAGACAAAGCAGCACTCACTCAAAAACATCAAAAATGCACAACAATGAAATAGTACCAGAGGATTTTTATACCGTACAATTCCCCTTTCTTCCCCCTCTACACTATCCTAGGAAGACTCAACCACTGTAGCACTTACCAGCCTCCATCTGCAATAGCCTCCCACCTGACTCCTTTAACTAAAACTGAACTAATATTACCCTTACAGCTCTTTTCTTCCACCAGCTATTGCAGGAGATGACACAAACAATGCCCACTCCCCCTCCACCCTCATTTTTCCTTTAAACAGCAGCACTGCTCCTTTCACCCAGCAAAATGCCAGAGCATAGATGGCACACTTGGAGGGTCACTAAGGCTAGATGCATGGGCCACAAGCACAAGTGAGCAGAAGAGGATACTGTGTCCTTTGGATGAAACAGGAAAATAATTCCAGCTTCAGGACATCTACTGTGGCCTAACACCCAGGAAGTACAAGCCATCATTGCTCTCTCACACTCCCTCCAGCTACTTAACCAAAATGTGAATTGCCATAATCACTGGTATGACAATGATGACACAAGGTGCTGTACAGACACAGAATTATTCACCACATAATAACCCTCAGACAAACTTGCTAACAAAAACTATTTTCACACTGCAGAATTCTCCCTGTTCCTTCCTGGAACAAACAGATAAAATGAGGCAAGTGCTGACCAAATGTTACACGGGAGGTATTAAGAATAAATGCATAGGAATGAAACACCTTTCTTTAGAGAGTCATTATGACAGCTGTTCCAATTATGTTTTGGGAGGAAGGAGAGAAGCCATGCCAATATTCTACTGCAAGCAGCTAAAGAAGTTCTGCTCTTGGAGATCTCTGACATGGTGAGACTATTTTCAGTTCAGCCTTCTCTTACATGTTTTCTTCTCACAACTGTCTGAGATTAGTGGCAGATTTCTGGTTAAGAGATCTTAAGAAGGGTCATTGCTGTTTTCTCTTACGGAAAAAGATGTGAAACCGTTCCTAAACACAGGCACTAAAGAAGCTCCTGTTCCAATCCATTACAGGTATTAGTCAAGCTGTGAATTCATATTTTCAAAAAAGCCTTCTTAAAATGGCCATATGCCAAACCTTTATCAACCTAAGGACCTCTAACTCAATACACCCTTGGTTATTTTCACTATAGAGACACAGCTTTAGCAGTTCCAATCAGGCACTAGCATCTTTACCAACAAATTACTTTATTTAATCCCCAATGAAACAACAGTGTTATAACAGCACAAAATTGAGTAGTTTACTCTTCAAATGTTAATTGTCTTACCTCAACATATGCAGGCTGTTTCTCAAGGATCAAGTCAGCAACTTTCTTAGATACCTTAAAAAGAAGAACATTCCATGTGATAGCAATCATAGCAATCCCAATTAAATAGGCCATCCCCATATTATAGTCCTACAAGTTTGTGATTTTCTATTATTTAGTACTGTATTTTTCAAATTTATTAATAAATATTCCATAACATAAAAATGCTGTAAAAATTATGATCAGCTTTCCTTAGAAGCAAGGTAAGAGAAACATTCACAGTTCCATCTATGGAATCCTCACCTCTCTGCCTGTTAAAGAACATGCTAGAATAGAAAACAAATAATTTGGGCCACTGCAAGTGTTTACATTATGGTCACGCTGCTGCTAGAGTACAAATTTTAATTAACCATCTACCCTGGTGTGCTGGTTTCAGCCGTGATGGAATTAATTTTCTTCACAGTAGCTGATATGGGGCTGTGTTTTGGATCTATGCTGGAGACAGTGCTGATAATATATGTTTTAGCATTTGTTAAGCAGTGCTTACAGAGAGCCAAGACCTCTTCTACTCTTCATACCACCTTGCCAGCAAGTAGGCTGGGGGTGTACTATTTGCTGGGAGAAGAGATAGCCAAGATAGCTGACCCCAACTGATCCAAGGAACATCCATACCATACGGTGTCTGCTCAGCAGGTAAAGCCGAAGAAGAAGGAAGAGGGGGATGTTTGGAGTGATGGCAATTGTTGTCCCAAGTCACCATTACACATGATGGAGGCCTGCACTCCCGGGGATGGCTGAACACCTGCCTGACCGTGGGAAGCAGTCAATTAAGTCCTTGTTTTGCTTCACTTGTGCATGTGGCTTTTGCTTTACCTCTTTTCTCTTCCCCACCCCACAAGTGGGGCAGTCAGTGAGCGTCTGTGATACTTAATTGCCAGCTGGGGTTAAACCATGATACATGGAGATCTAAGAAAGCCATAGGGACACTTAGCTTTCAGACTGATACTGTATTAAATAAAATCCCTGTCAAAATAAATATTCACCCTGTGCACATTATACCCTTTCTTTAGCACCCAGAACATGCATATTTTAAAATCTTCTCCACTGTTCTGAACTAACAGTAAGTGGAATGCTACTGAGAGCTGCTGTCTGTATTGAATTTAAAAAATGGGCATTGCTACTTTAATCAGTCTCCTGTGTGAAAACACAGAAGATTAAAAAGAAATCCAACACTAACAGTCATATAAATGCAAGCGTGAGAATAGTGTGTTTTGGTTTGTTTTTCAGCAGGGACTATAAATATTTAAGAAACTGTTTCAAACATGACAAAGGAATCACTGATATTGCTTTATATTCTTCTAGGGGAACAATACCCCCAGAAATGAAAATATAATAAAACTGGCTATGACAACCAGTCCACAAAGGACTACTGGCAAAGAAAAATTAGAAGGTTTTTCTATACCTGACAAACATAGCACAAAGCTGGGATCTTCAATCAGCGTTCCTATAACAAACTCAAATTGGCTCCACCAGGTCAATTCCCATCCTCTGGAAGGGCACTTACACACAAATGGTCTTCCAAGTATTCCGATACCATCAGCTGGCAATCTGGAGGGGGCATATATCTATGCTTTCCTCCTTCCATATTAAAAACAGGCCAGAATCACAAAGCAATTTCAAAATCTCTTAGTTGTTCTATAAATAATAAAGCTTTCCTCTGCAGGACAGCAAGGCAGGGTCGGAAAAGAATGTTATCAGGTCAAATGCTACACAAGCCTTAAGAAGACTCTTAAGAAGTTTTGTTCACTGCACAGTCTATATACTGTGAAATTTTTACCTCCCTTTTCCAACCTGTCCTTCCTTCTAGCCCTGGACCTGTAAAAAACTTTAGGACATGGATGCTAGTTATGCACTGCCCTAGTACAAATCTAACAGTTTGATCCTTTGCTGTTAAAGGGATTCATCAAGCAGTACATGTGGATAAAAGATACATTTCATTTTATGTGGCTTTGTTTTGCAAGTCCTCAGTAACCCTTGACTAGTAACAACCCTAACACTGTCAAGCACCTGCCATGGCCACTTTTGTTTTTCTTTCCCAGAACTTAGTAATTTTGTTTCCGAGCTTCTAAGCATTCTCTTCCCTTTCTTTCGGATAAGCAATATTATCCCAGATTATTTCCAGTCGTTTCCAAATTGTGCCACCCCTTTTGGCATCTTCCACATAATTGTGCTGTGTTAACTTTTGGAATCCTGAATTTAATTGCTAGCAATTAATGTGACTGCAGTTATAATACAGGCCAACAACAATGCTTTCTGAGGGGACCAAACAATTTTCTCTTTCCAAATCACATCAATAAAAAATAATTCATCTCCTGAATTAAAAACAATACAGCTGAGGATATTAGCCTACTAATTAAAGTGAAGTCTAACAGACATACAACTAGAAAGCCTTCTAATCCAAATTGTCTGTACCAAGATGATTACAAATTAAAGCTGTCATGACACACACATTAAAAAAAGTTTGAAGGAGTTGGAATCCATCTAGTGGAATGGAAAACTAATGTTCAAACTACCGAAAATCTCCAGTCTACACTGACCTGAAAACAAAGTCAAGACCAAGATCAGCTCTGCCAAAGCAGATGGTAACAGCCAGTGAGAAGTGGGAGATCAGAGCTCTAGTACCTGTAATCCCTACTCACTTGAGTACTTCGCCTTAGAGATATTTACAAGTTGGTATTATCTCTAAACCACTATTGTAAATTCCTATGGCAGCTATGGATACCGACATTGAAGTAAAAAATACAGTATTTAGTCTTTTGCAAAAGCACAGGTATTGTGTGATATGTCAATAGACTTCCTGAGTCCCCTATCTAATAATCTATCCACAATCACCATCAAAATACTTTTAGGACTGAACTAACAACGTACAACATTCACCAGTACTGTCCTCCATGAAGGACGCTAATGTCCTTTAAGGCAGAGAGCAATCTAAATGATCTATCACGAGATAAACAGAGAAAAATTGAGACAGGAGAAGAAAACATGCATCAGTCTCTCACACTCTACCTGGAAATATGACACAAGCACATGAAATACAGCATATAAGAAATTTTAACAACCTGGCATGTGCCCAAAGAGGAAAACAAACTAAGTAACTATTCCCTCCTACAGCAGAAACACATTTAGACTAGATTAAGGAAGGAACAAGAAAGGCTCAATCCCTTGAAAGGCTAGGTAAACCTAAACCTATGATTAATGAAATAACTTTGAACAGGACCTGGAGTAAAGACTCCTGTTTGTGACTATAGCTGTAACCGATGTTAGCCATACTTTTACCCCAGTTGTAGCTATTAAGTTTCTGCTCAAGGCCTGTGTGCTTTGCAAAAGCTAAGCTCTTAGGAACTTGTAATGTCTGCACAAGTGAAGACATATTGCAACTCTCAGTGTCTCTGTGATGTGAAGAAGATAACTGCAAGGTCAAAAGAGGCTGATAAACCATTTCCCCCTAGTTCAGTTACGTTTCTTGCTAGACTTATAGACAACACAATAAATTGCCTGAGGTTACAGAGGAAACAACTTTACTTACAGCAGCTTGCTGTTGTTTTAATTTGTCTCTGTACTCTTCCAGTTCTTGAAGACTAAGTACTGGAGGAAGCCTCTGCACATAAACAATGAATTTAATTCAGTGAGAAATTAAAGGATGTTAAATAAAAAAACATAGCATTAACTAAGCAATCAATTTCATTAAAGAAATATTCTTATTGTTCCTGCCATCTAATCTGCAGAATTAATCCATTATTTCAAATGATGGATACTGAAATCAATTAGTGTTAAGATATGCAATGTATTATCACAATTGCATCACATGATATCATCATTATCTCAAAGTTACCTTATTTTAAGCTGCATATGTATACACACAACCCTGATCATGGAAATTACTATGTCTCGGTCAGTTTACTGAAAAATATACAAAACATGGAGCAGATACTTTTTTCATTATAGTTTACATTATGAAGTGCCTCTTAGCACAGGCACTGATATAACTAATATCAATTCTACTACACTAAAAGAAGAGACTCCATACCAATACTATATGGAAGTTCCACACAACTGCAAGATGATGAAGGAGGGTACAGTTTTGTATTGATGCAAGATATAAGTAACAAAGCAAAAAATAGCTCATTGAAACAAGCATACTTTTGATTTTCATTTTTTGTTAGGCTGCTGTCTTTTCTTTTCAGAAGACAGCTTACCTCTAATTCATATTTCACAATATCAAAGGAATCATTGGAAAAATAAACTTCTTCAATGCTGTTAATTATTTCCTGCTGTGCCTGAGGATCAATTGGTTCTTCATGTGGTTCTCTGAGCTCTTCCTGCACAAAACAAAAAAGGATTTGCATAATATAATAACACATCCTAACAAGAAAAATATTTTAACAAAACAAACATCTTTCAAAAGACATTTGTAACACTAATACAAGAAGCAATGGCAAAGGACAGAAAGATCAGTATATTGTGGCTTGTTCTTTCTGTAATGAACAGAAAAATATTTAAAACTTCTCAAAAACATAGTGCAGACTTCAACATTGCAGCTCACTTAAACACTTCTTCACCGATACATTTTTGGCACGAACGCACGTGAGTCCACCGGTGTTTTTTCCTCTGAAGTTTAGAAATTCTTATAATAAACTAAAAATACACTGGTAGGCTATTTCTCCAGAATTAAAAAAAAAAAAAACCAAAGTAACAAACAAAACCTGAATTTTTAAAATCATAGGAACCATCTTCATAAATGTAAGATAGAAAATGTCACTACAAATGTATAACTTTTCAATTCAGCCTTCACAATTCACTGAAATAAAAGTCATGCCATTAAACACTCTGATTTCTGATACAAGTACAAACAGAACAGACCTGCCTCCTTTGCACCAGATTAACAGATCTCAAATTTTAGCACAGTGGTCTAAGCAGAGACATGCTGTCAGCTTTCTGAAAGCTACCACTCAAGAGGTAAACATCCCCCTCCTTGCTGTCACAATCTCCCCTGGAAGGTCTTCTCAATGACCTAGCTGCTTCCACTGGTTGTAGCAAACCAAGGACTGAGGCTGAGCCTCCTCTTCCCCTGCTATACTGGACACTGCAAATAATACTGGCCCTGTCCTGGATGTTGTTCCTACCAAGGGAATAAAAAATTATTTATCAGAGACTCAAAAGGCCTAAGTGCTAAGATATTCTTTCATCAAAAATAAAGATAAAATGGATCAAATTGCTTGATACTGGAATTAAACCCTGGTGAAGCAAAACAGTGGGCTTGAAGAGTCCTGTAATGACCCTGAGTCTCCCAACAGTGCCAAGTTGTAACAGTGGACAAGGCGCCTGTATTTCTATCACCAAGAGCTCAAGGGCTTATTTCACAAGATAGTGGCATCAGGTTTTAAACTAATTGACTAAACAACCCCTAACTCGCTTACAATGCACACCAGCTGAAATACGGTCAGCGCGTACATGTTACGAGGCGAAGTGACACCTGAGATACAAATCAAGGCGCTGTTTCTCTCTGCAGTTACAGGCAGTCCAGGGGGGACAAGTGGCCGGTTTGGAAGAGCATCACAAGGAGCTGGTACAGAGCACAGGTTTCCAGCGGATTTGGCATCCCCGAGCGACCACAACGAGGCAAAGCAGCGGGAGGCGGTGCTCGGGCGCCAC